TTGTAAGTGTGTGGCAGGAAAGATGGATTTTGAACACTAAGGGAACTCATTACATGTAAGAAGAAAAACAGCAAATAATAAAATAGAATCATCCTAGCCAGCATTGCTATTTATTAGAATTGTATACAGCATAATTATAGGGAATTTGCATAAGATATCCTTAACATGAAATATCATCTCATTTTACTCTTCTACACCTTTTAATTTTCTGCACTATGGGGGGGGGAGGGGGAAGGTTGTATCTAGGAAGAGATAAGGAGAAGGCACTTTAGTTCTTTGGATAAGTTCATCTTCCAAACTTATAATAAGTATGTCCTACATACTTACTCAGACCTAGCATTTGAGTGTTACAGGCCATTCAGTGGTTCAGATGTTCATCCACTAAGGATAAATGCACAGGTTTAAACATAATAACAGGCACATAATGTGATTCTTAGGGATGTTCCACACAGAGCTAAGAGTTGGACTCTATGATCTTTGTGGGTCCCATCCAACTCAGAATATTCTGTGATAATAGCTAATTGTTATTTTAAAATTATTATGGGATGTACAAAGCAAGAGCAAGGATTACTCTAGGGAGCATCACACTCCAGCTCTGCAGAATAAAGAGTAAGTTGATGATATATGTAAGAGTAACCAGACTTGTGTTATGGAAGAGCTGTACACAAGGTACCACTAACTGGTGCACATCACTTGCTAGACTCTGTGTGGCTCTTTCTCTTGGAATTAGTATCTAGAGTATACAATGCGTAGGCTCTTCTGTGTGTATTTTTGTTGTTGGCTTTTAAGTCCTTTGAGTCACCTTTCCTCTGGAGTTTGGAGCTGGGAATGAATCCAATATAATTCCAACTCACTGTGGTTCAGCAATGCTATTTACATTTCAGTGCTATCACTACATCAGGCATTCTATCTCCCCCCTTCTGTTTCCAGGCGTCTGCCTGAGGTCTGCAGTTTGTGCTTATGATTTGTAAGGGCTGGACTGTGGTTATGTACCTCGCACTTTAGTCTTGGCTAGCACTGTTATATTGTTGCACTGCCTCTCTGCTCTTTCCCAGCGGTAGTGTAATTATTCTTTAATGCTGCCCTGCTACCTACACAGTTTTGCTGAACTTCTCTAGTCCTTATCTGAGATCTCTGCAGCTGCTGGCTTCTTCTTTAAATCACCTTCGAATATATGCATAAAGCTCCAATATTCTTCTCATTGCTTCCTTTGATTTCACAGGCAGTGGAACCCACTCTGATGTTAACATTGCTGGTATTTAATTTCCTTCACTGCTGAACAATTTTTGAATATAAGTGTTCTCTCCTTTTCAGTCCCCTTTGCTGTTTTTTGTTCTATCCATGCTGTAAAACTCCTCAGTTCCTTTGCCCTTGCTGTCCTCAGTATTCAGGTAATGCAGTAGTTTTGTATTTAGGATTTTTCTACTAGTGCAAGAGAAGAAAACTAAATGTCTCAGCTAGAGCAATGATGTTTGTATGCACAGAAACATTAAAGCCAGAAGCTGTCTTTTCAGATGTCAGTCTAAAAACCTAACTGCAATAAGACCTTGGCTACCAAACCCCTTAGACACTGTCTGTTTTCTTCAAGATGGTGGCAACCCTTAAATAAGGTGCATTTCCATTTATTTAAAAGCTAAGAAAGGAAAACCAGAGCAGCACCTATGTGACCTGATAGCATAAGACAATATGAAACAATGCACCACAACTTGGATACTTAGAGTTCACAGTGCTGTATCTATATTTGCATACAAATATAGATAAATTCAGAACTACCTGAAGATTTTCACGGAAGTAGTATGCATTTCAGCAGTGTCCTTAAATTCTTCAGCAACTGTTTTTCCCTTCCAGCAACCCTGTTTAGTATTATTACATTAAATTCTGATTCACCCGTGTTTATGATGTGTGTAGCTTAATGCAATCATGCATTCTTGTAATCATAAGTCCATCTCCGGACAAAGAAAAATGCACACAGGATGAACAGGTATTTTAAAAGCATGAAGTCCTCCTAACTTTTAAAGGAATTTACTGTAGTGAATGTTTGGGTATATCCATTTAAATAAAGAGATTTCAAGATTTCAAATCAGGGTAAGACAGAGCATCTCAACTTTTAATTAGAGATAGAGTAGGTTACTTTATAATATGTTTTAAGAATAAAATCCCTCTATTTATAATTTGTTGTTACGTGTTTCTCTATAAGTCAGTATTGTATGACAATTTAAACAGGAGCAGATTCCCCAAAAAACCTACTTAATGTTCAGACACTGAACGCTTTCACGGAATACACTTTGGATAAGCTCATCAGTTAAATACTGTACACTATTTGCTGCCTATGAAATATTTTGTTTCCATTCAATTCTTGAGGCTATAGCATTTTATAACATTTCATTTAATAATAGCTTTTCACCTTCTGGCATCTACCATGGCCATAAAAATGACAAATTATTTAATTTTCAAATGCATTCTAAGAGTAGGAATGGCTTGCATTAGTGCAGCCATGGTATAATGGGTCTGTCATTACTGCACATGTAATCAGAAGCACTACAACAATTAAGAATTGTTTTTTTTTTCCTGAGATTTGCAAGCAACGATAAAAAGTAATAACTGTACTTAAATATGGCTTGTTTTGGTTTGGCTTCAGAATAAGCAATGTTCATGTAAATTGTAGTTTAGGATGGACAACACTTCCTATGACTGCAAACAGTAACATTAACCTTTATAACATTACAAAAATGAAAGGATTATGTGCTTTGGTATTTATTCCTGCTGAAATTGAGAAGTCAAGATAAGGGGGGTTGAGTTGGGTTTGGGTTGTGTTGGGTTTTTTTTAATCTTAAATTGCAATAAATTAGCTGCCTTTTCAAATTCTGCATTATGCTATTTCTGCAATCCAGGGATGACTCTACTGGCAAGTTGTGAGTTTCAGTTGTACTTACAAAGCCACTGCAATGAAAATTGCTGCACCATGCAAGACTCTTGTGTGTTTGGAAATCCAGTGTGGGATATGAAGTCTATAACAATACCACTTGTGTAGCTCCAACAGTTTTGTTACCCATTGTGACTGTACCCTGACTGTAAACAAGGTATGTTGAACAGGCTGGCAGGGTCTGGAAAAGCAATTCTAGTTGGACTGCAAGGACCTAGTGAAAAGGGAGAAATAAACCATCAGCATCAGAACAAAACAAGTAGGTACAGGGAGATAAATAAAGCAGATTAAAATATGAGTTTTTGTAACAGAACTCCCGAGCCAAAATAATTTAGTGATAACTGAGGAAATTCCAGTGGTTCAAAAACCAACATAAGAATCTGTGAGAAATCTGGGAATACTCAGAGCTTCTAGATTCTGATTATCAAAGAATTCTTGGGTATCCTGAGAAATACATGCAGAATACTATATGTAGATGTTATGTTTGCTTGAATCTAGGTGCTTCTTACATAACTTCATAAAAAAAAGTATTGATGCTTTAGAACCTTATGCACAATCCTGTTAGACAAGCCTGCTAATGGTGATGTATGTCTATATTATTATTTGCTGTCTATATTTGAATTTGTTGTTACAGTGTTTATATAATCCTGTGTACTACGAGGCCATTCACTTAAGAGTTCGACTTGATGATACTTATGGGTCCCTTCCAACTCAGAGTATTCTGTGATTGTGATTTTACAATTGCAGACAACAAGAGAAAATAATGGCTTATGATGAAGACTTTGTATACTCCAGTGTACAAAAATTCAACAAAAAAATAGTGTGAAATGGAGCATTGTGCAGCAAAATTTCTGGAGACTGTTGTATCACCTCAAATTCTAATGCTGTCATGGGCTAAATTCTGAGAAAATGCTTAGGATTTACATTTCCTGCTGACCATCTGAATCAAGGTTTGACATCAGTTATTTTCAGTTTTGATAAAGGATTATCTTCATATAATTTACTATAATGTGGATGGTAGGGAAAAAAAGGGTGCCCATAAGATTACAATGCACAGAGTTCACTAATCAAGAGAAAGGTAAAATAAATTACTGTACTTTGGTCATAATGATAACAATTCACTGTTAGAAACTTAACACTGGTAGATCAATAGGTAAAGGTGGTGCTGAGTTTTGCAGAGAAAATGCCATTGCTCCTCAGTCTTTAAAGTTTGCATCTTAAATAATTACAAAAAGATCTATGGATAAAAATTTTTTTTTTAATTATAAGGATTACTTACAGACTACTGTTAACTATAGATAAGAACCGATGCTTTCATATTTGAAGTGGTACTGGATGCTGTGGAGTGAGTCACCCTCGCTAAGCTGATAAATACAGCAGTTGCTCTCTTTGTAACAGATTGTATGAGATGGGTACAGTTACAACCTCCATGGAAAAGCAGAGGGTGGTCCTGATGAGCTGGAAAAACGCAGAGAGATTGCTGCAGAAAACTGAGTGAGAAAGAGCCCCTGTGATGTACTCACAAGGAAAAAAGCATGGGCATATTGAGCAAAGGAACAGCCTCCCCTTTTACTAAGATTTTTTTGTAAACGAAGAAAAGTGTCTAAGAGAAATACCTATCTGAGTTTCTTCTTATCAGGCAACCACAACCAATCTGAAAAATGGTTATAACCAAGCTCAAATAAAGACTAATGGGTACAAAGGAGAAGTCCAGAGCTGGGACACCTCCTCCCCATTCACACCCAAAGGGGGAAGAAGTGCTTTATAAAATAATTTCCTTCACCGGGACCCCTTTCTCAGAGCGCAGGTGGAGCTGCGCTCGCAATTCCCTGTTCTCCACGACGAACTGAATGCACAGAGGCGACTGAGGCGTTTAGTCCCAGTGATGCTGCTAGCTATGTACATCTACGCATTGGTTTTATCTCTGTGAAAGCTCATTGAACATTACTCTTTCACGGTGTTAACCGGCCTCTCCCGAACGCCCCCGGCCCTGCCCCCGCTCACCTCGCCCGGAGCCGCCGGGCCGCGCCCGCTCGGAGGGACCGGCGCGCGCCGCCTCACGGGACCGAGCACCGCCCCGGCACAGCAGGGGCCGCCGCCGCCTCCGCGCTCGGCCCGGGGTGGGGGGCGAGCGGCCGGGATCCCAGCTCTTTAGCTGTGCGGAGATAGAGAGAACACTGTCTCTGAGGTGTGCTCAGCTCCCGCCAGGTCTCCGGCCCTGCGGACCCGGCCCGCCGCCGGGTGGGATGGGGGTCGCGCCTCAAAACCGTGAGGGGCTTCGAAATGGCGCTCGCCATTTGCCTTGCAGCCGTCTGGCGCTCAGAGCCGGGCAGGGCTTGTCACCGCTCTGAGGGAGTCGGCGCTGGCAGGGCTTGTCGCTGGCGCCGGGAGCTTGCCGTAGCCCCAGCGAAGTCTGCTCTCAGCCCCAGGGATTGCGGCGGGGAGGGGAGGCGGCCTCTGCCCCGCTGAGGTGGGTCCTGGGCTGCCCGGGGCCGCTGGTGCAGCGCCATTGCAAGCACTGCTGCTGAGGCTGTGCGGGTACCCAGCCTCCGCAGGGGCTGACCAGCTGTACCTGTTTTTCCAAAATCCATAGGTAAGCAATACTCAGGGTAAAAAATCCCCATGATTAAAAATGGCAGAAGATACTACAATGCAAGAAGTAAGTGGGCGTGACACGGGATTCAGGCCCTGAATTACTGAAGAAAAGTCTCTGTAAGTTTCCCTAAATACCGAACTAGATCTGACTCTCGTGTACAATACTTCTTTAAGCGACCTTCTAGTAACTAGTGAACCATAATGCACATTGCGAATACTATAACACTTGACAAATGCCTTTAAGCAAATGTAGTGTCCTTTTCTTCCTTCCTCGTACATAGAGGTATGGTATATTAGCAAAAGAAAGGAAAAGGTAGCGTTATCCATAGATGATACTACACACAAATTGAGACGAGGCTAACTTAAAATGTCTTTCCAGTTATTTCTCTGAAGCAGTGCATCTATTTTTGTGAATACAAAATGGGTTTTAGTTTTCACTTTTAAAAGCTAGGTTTTCTCACTTCATTCTCCCCTTCAAAAGCAACACTCTGGAATTTCAGTTTCATTGCACTGAAAGCCAAAGATCAGTGTTTTGAAGTATTTTGAAATTATTAGGTGGGAAACTATGTTCTTGTACAGAAATTTCAGGTAGTATGATGTGTAATAATAGTGGTCACTGTCAGAAAGTCAGATGCAGTTACTGAGTTCTTTTCTGGTAAAAACAGTGACTTGGATATATCTTAACCTACTGTGGAGTCTTGTAGAATGTGTTCTGAAAATACAAAGAGTTCATTTTCTAGACCCGTTTTATGCCCTCAAATTGAAGTCCAGCTCATTCTTAATGTGCAATTGCAAACTATAATGCAGTTAATTTTCTAACCTTATACCCTTTAATCCTCAAGTGTTAAATCCAAATTGGTGTTAATTATTGATATTGTAGCACAAAAAGTAAAAACAGAAGAGTTCACCCAAGTTTTATTCAAAAAATAAAAATGTGAGGAACCAAGCAGAGCTGTTTTTCTCTTGGGCTGAGATTTTCATATGGTAATCTGGCTAGAAGTCAAGGTGGATATGGATTTCTAAAAGCCATTTCACACCCTTTTAAAAATGAAAAGTCAGTTTAAGTGCAAATTGATTGTTTTAGATACAGGGAAAATATGAACTTCTGTGCTGGTATTTCCTGCTTCTTGGTGTTCCACAGTTAGGAGGCTTTAGGAGCATTATCTGCAGCACTACAGTTATGCACATAGGAGAGAGGGCCACACTCTGATTCCTTCCTTGGCGTTATGTGCTGCCCTGTTGATGGATGTGCAGAGTAAGTGATTTATCCGGTACCATCCAAAATCCTTAATTAGAAGAAATATTGTACCTGTATTATTGACTTTCTTACTACAAGGAGGAGAGATTTAGTGAGCAGTGCACTGGCTGTTTAGTTGCTTTAAGAGCTGCCAGGACCAGTTTTGCAGTGTTCTTGCCAAATGCGTTCACAATAAAAAGTTCATTGGACAAAGACAATGATTCTTGCTGCACTAATGCCTGGAGAGGCTCACTAACAAGGGACTCCTGAGTGCAGGCTTGTCTGGGGAAGAGACACATTTTGTGTCACGAAAACAGAAGTTACTGTCTTTACCAGCCTTCTGCCACTGAGGAAGTGGAAGAGAGGGGAGTAATGAATAAAGTGCTGATTCACTGTGCAGTGGTGTGAGAGTAATCAAAGAACATTCATATAAAGGAAAGGGTTTTGAAGTCCTGAAAATTATCATAATGTTTTGCTTTTGTTCTTCTTAAGGATTTGGTTGGTGGGTTTTGTTGTTTGGAGTTTTTTTAACCTTGCCCTAGTTTTAAGTTGTCATCTGAACGCACTTTGTGAGATATACTGTGTGTTTATAGCTTCTCTTTTGTTAGTTCTTACAAAGTTACCTTCCTTAGAAATGAATTCTAGTAATCCAAGGAAATACAAGAGAGGAGAGCCTATGGATCAGCAACAGAAAAGGAGAAGGGGGAAAAAAGCCTCATACAAACCCTGAGCATAACTGGCAAGGTGAGCCTGAAACTTTTTACCAGTCTACTTTATGGCTCAACTTCAGTAACATAGAGACAGAGAACAGATTGTTTTAGGGAAGTTGGGAGTGCTCTGCAACTGCAGGAACAATCAACACTTCATTCAGTAGGAATGTTTTTGTTGTTGTTACTGTTTAATTCCTTTTCATCAGTTTGAACAGAACTGTACTGCAGCAGAATAAGCAAGCTGCAATGTATGTGGCAATCATCCAAGACACAAGTTCAGAATGGGCATTTCTAGTAAAGATTCCTGCATTAGAAATGAAAATATGGAGCCATATTCCTCACAGTGCTAACCTGAGAAATCAAACATGAGGACTCATTTGCTGTGGTGGCTTATTTCTGTGCTGCTTGATAAAGCCATGTAGCTCCTAAAAAGGGGAGGGGAGATAGGAAGAAGGTAAGGGAGCTGCATCAGGAAGTGCACAGTGAAGGTGTTGGTTACCAAGGAGTTACAGTGTGCAGCTGAGGAAGGCACCTGTTCTTCTGTTTGTGGACAGTGGGTTGACTGCACTGCAGGTAGAACTGGAGACAGATGAATGAAATGCATGAAACCAGTCTCCTGCTAGTGCCTTCCTGACTTGTCCTGCCTTTTGTTCAGCTTTCACCTCTTTGCCCAGAGGGTTTGACAGTTGGAGGCGTGACGTAAATAGTGAGGAAAGGGTGGTTTGTCTGGAGTGATGAGATGTGGCTGGTCTGTGTGGTACTTCAGCAAGAGGAAACCCCACAATGAACTTGATGCAGCATTAACAGAGCAAGGCCTCGTGATTCACGTGCCACATCAGAAATCTGAAAAATAATTTGAGAAACTGCTGTTGTTTAATTGTGCAAAATTGCTGCAGGGAATTTTTCCCTGGGGAGGAGAAGTTTCTCTGAATAATGCATTGTGTAAGGCAGTACATGCTTTCCTTGTCCCAAAGCTGAAGAGCTGGATGGCTGTGTCTGTAATGTTGCTGCTCTGGGATAAATGTCTGACCATGTAGGGCTGAGCTTTTCCATCTGAATGCTGCACAGTAGGCAAGAAGCTCTGCTGAACACAGCTGAGAATTGGCCTGTGGGAATGGCACATGATGAGGGGGGAGGGATTATGACACTTTTCATTCTTGGCTGCTGTTTTGTAGGGAACAAGGCGTGTCAGTAGCTTCTTGCTGGCTGGTCCTCTTTTTCTCTACTCCTCATCTAGTTGTTTCTTCCTCAGACAGGGACTGTGCCCTGCTGTGAGGAGAGGGAGTACTGTTTGGATGTGGAAAAAGGAGATGTTTGCAGAACTGCATGTGCGGAAACAGTAGACTAAGCTAATTTTACAATGTTTCTTATGAAATAGATGAAAATTCAGGAAAACTAATTAATCTCCTGGCGTGGCATGCTATGAATTAATAAAAGGAGTCACTTTTAGTAGTAAAACATGTATGAGATTCAAATGTCTCAGAATAAGGGAAGAGTTAAATCTAGCCCACAGTATTTGCATCTTTCTCCTCTGCCCTTGTAGCCGCTACTTTCTGGGTCAGAATATCAAGAGAAAGTATACGGGTGTGGAAGATGGATCCAAGTTTGCCTGCTTATCTCTGATGTCATTACAGTTGAAGAGAATTAAAGTTGCTGGAGTCACTTTTCTTTTCCTTCCCTTCTTCCTGTGCTGATGGTAACATATGGACTGTGGAGAGAGGTGTGTTCTGTGTGCTGTGCTGGTGAATGTGTTCAGCATTGAACACATTGAAATAACGGCATAATTACTGCTGTCAGTCTGTTCAGGCAGCTGTTTGTCTAACATTCTGCATGTACACTGTATTTTTTGGTTTTGCATGGACCTGGCTCACTTTACACACTTTCTGTGATTCACAAGAAAATTCCATCTCCTTCAGTCTCATGTCATTACTGTATCAGAAACAATAGGGAATCATTTACCTCTCCAATTCACAGAGCAATGCTTCCACTAACCCCTGGAGATTTCTGTGGTAAGCTGCTGGAAACAGTTGAAAGGGATATAATTTCTAGAGGGGTCACCGTACATGGCTGAAAGCTTCAACAATATATTAAGCTGGGCATTTTGGTGAAAAAAACCAAAGATCTGCCTGTATTTAATCTGAGCTGAATTATTATTCCCAGGTCAACTCTGTAAAGCAGAGAGCACCTCAGTTAATAAATAAACTCTGTTTGCCTTGTAGTTACCTGGAACTAATATTAATCCTAGTATTTCAGAAACTAATTGTGCATATTCCTTTGTGTCTAATTGTGAGAACCAGCCACTTCACTGCCCGAGATTCAAACCTGGAGTTGAGAATAAGGTTTAAGACAAAAAGGTGAAATCCAAGTAGGGGAAGGTGCTTGAGTGGAATATGGAAGATAAGGCTCTCGGTCCCAGTTTCACAGAAGCACCATGCAGACAAAGAGTTTCTGATATGTACTTTTCCTGAGTGATGGTCCCTTTCAGGCTCCATATGCTGGTCCTACTTTCTCACTGTTGTGAATGTCACTGTAAATGTCCAATTTCAATGTGGATATTCACATTTGAATACTTAAGATGAGTCCTGTGTCCCCCACCCCTAAAATTAGGAACCCAGCGACTAAATGGAGCACTGTGAAGTGACTGAACTGATAAAGTGCTTTTCTGAATGCTGTCCTAATCATTAGTGTCTGCTGCGTGGCATTGCAGGTAATAATGAGAATTGTGCAGAACAGAATACAGAGGAACTAGAGAATTCTCTCTCGAGAGGAAAAATTGATATCAATTTCCCCTTTCATCCTGGCAAGGTTTCTTACCTTCGTTGGTACTTTCTAATTGCCATCAGCAGTATCAAAGACACAAGGCTGTGTAAAGTAGTTCCAGCCTTTGCCCAGATATCCATAGATTTCACTCCTGCTGTGCTGTGCCATATTCAAAGTTAATTGGATGACCCAATTTTCAACCTGAAATACAGTATGAACTTAGGGACTGTATCAGTGCAATTATAAGTTGCTTGAAGAGCACATCTACAGTGTTGGGCACAAAAATCTGGAGGCCAAACCAGAGTGTTGGAAGCACATAAGCAGTTAATGACTGAAAAGAGAGCTGACCACTGGAATGGGAATGTATACAAGAACCATATGTTAAAAGCCAGATATTTCTATTTTACTGAAATTGTACATTGTAAAAGACAGGTATGAAGGCAGTTTAAGGGACTGTGTTCATCATTCTCCTGCATTGCAATAAGGCATCATCCTTCTTTCTATATGCCATTTAGTGTTCAAAATAGATTGATTCAACTAAGTTCCCTTTACAAACTAAATCAGACTGTAAGCTTTGAATTTCTGTTTCATTCATCATGTGCTTTTGAGGCCTCCTCATGTTCTTGTTAATAATTCAGCCTTTACCTATTCTAGGTTTATTGCTCAGAGAGACAGTACCTTTTGCTGAGCTGAGCATATGGCTAACAGGAGCTATGTCAGGTAAGGAATGCAACCTTTAATTTTTCTCCTTGTCTTTTGTTGTTAGTCAGCTTTGGAATAGAACTGTAATGCAGTCAGTCGGGTTTGTATATGTCAACAACTGTAGCCTTTTACTTTGAAATAGCTGGAGAAATGCCAGAGATCTCAAGTGTCTTGAAGACTGTCAAGCTTTTGCTTTTTCTGTTTGTTGTTTCAGCAGCTGAGAACACTGCAAGTCCTGAATCAAACTGGATTAGGTAAGAAAGAGTTTTTAAATGTTGCCATTTATGGCACCCTGGAGAAAAAAACAAATGTGGTTTTCTGACTCCCTTCCTGCAAAATAGACAAATCCTTTTCTCATTCTGCTAACATGTCATAATTGTCTTACAGATGGTCAGCTAGTAGCTGGGAACTGTTGCTCTGCTTGGAGCTGTATTTCTTAGCTTTTTATTTTTTTCTTTCTCAAGTAATGAAATTAAGCTATTGAGCTAGGCAAAATAGCTGACTCCTGATTTCTTCTTAATACCAAGAATACTGTGAAAGAAAGTTACTGAGAACATGTAATTAAAAATAACAATTACTGACTGTTGTTATTTTGCAGTGGGGCCTTCCTACATTTGTAACAGCACAGCTGTATTTGAGAGGTGTTAATTCCATTCACGGACATTGCCTAAGGGTTGAACTGCCCTGGTGACTGTGGGCTTGTTCAGCCATTTCTCCTTCTACTGCAGCGCAGGAACTACTGGCTAGAGAGTGACTTTTGAACTGAGCAGTGCATGGCATGATGAAATACAAATACCTGTGACTGGTAAAATTCTTAGGTATATTTTTTAGTCTCATTTTAGTCTCATTTTCAGTCTCGTTTCCGAAAGAAAATTTGGTGCTTGTTTTCTACAGGCCTTACTCGTTGGCTTCTTTCAAAAGAGTGATTGTTATAAAGCCCACCTTAAAAGCTGTTAGTCTCGAGTTACGAGTTTGTAGTCTTGATGGTTATGATGTGATGCAGTGCCTACAGTACTGGAGGAGGAATAAGCTTTTACAACCTTCATACTATAAGAAAGAATGGATTGTGAGGAGTGCAGCCTGTACTGCTTTCATTATAACTCCTGTCTGAAGAATTGACTCATGGTATACTTCTTCCTACTTGGGTTCTTTGCCAAAAATATAAAATGGTAGCTCTCTTTCTCATCAGGATTCATGGCTCTGTCAGTGTCAACCTATTGTGAAATGGAACCTGGGGATTTCATTATCCAAAAATCAGTTCACTGAAAATATTAATACTGTAGGTAACAGGTTCCAACTAAGGATTTACATATTGTAAGTGTTAGCTCTTTAAAAACCCCCAGAAGTTCTTGCAGGAGTTCTTATGTGTATGTGTGTGTAGTAACAAGAGCAGCTCTTTTGAAGTCATTGTGATAATGGAGCTAATGACAAGACAGTTGGCACTGTCGCGCTAAGGTGATCTTCACCCTTGCAAGACAAAATATAGTTAGATTAGCACATTTTTTGCAGAGATACGCAGTTATCCTTGTGTATAAAAGATTTGACTCCTATTAGCCAGCAGATGCCCGTGTCCTTGACAAAGCTGTCTTTGCAAGATAGATACAGCTATAGAATGTACACTGATCTGTACGGTATGCCACAGTTTCTTCTCCAAAATGCGTTGTGACTTGAAAATATATAAATGTTTTGGGACTAGGTGGAAGATCTTGTGGAGTGTTGTGGTACCTACTCTGGTAAGGCTGCCCTAAGCCCCAAGTATATCAGTTTATCATAGTACCAAGTCAACCTCTATTCTGTCCTTGATGCAGTTCCAGCTCCACAATGGAGGCTGTACTGAACTCCTAGGTATGCAATTGTGCCTGTCTTTGCTGCCTTCCCAGCCTTTCCCCTTTCTTGGACTCAGGTGTGCAAGTCTCAAATAGAGCTTTTTAACTGCAGTCCTGCATCTTGTTCCAGGGGTTCTGTTTTCTATGGCTTTCAGGAGAGAGAAGTTTTTTGCAGAACAGTTTTTTAGCAGGACTCTGTGTCAGTAACATAAAGAATACTGTAAATGTTTTGGTAAAGACTTTATAATATTCTACAGTGCAGGAGGTATCCTGCAAAGGAAGAGGGTGCTTTTTTTTACTGTGGGCTGCTTAAGTACAGCTGTAAGGTGGACACTTAATAGAGATTTGAGATTCATATGGAAATGGTGTCCTGTATATAAAAATAGGCTGGGCTCTTATTTAGGTATCAGAAGGTAGAGACATCTCTGGCACTTTTTTGTGGATAATAAAGGAAAATATAGAAATATTTAGGGAACATTTGTTTCTTGGCATTGAAATCTGAAACAACAAAATGGTGCTTTAAAACAGTTTGAAAGAGCACTGTCTCTGGTCTTCATGATTTCCTGGGTAGGCATAGAACTAGAAGAGTGATGCTGATCCCAAAAGGAACCTTGTCTTTGCATTTGACTACTGCTTGGAAAAAAGCAGAATCCCATCCATTGTTTCATAAATATTTTCCTGCACAAGCAGAATTTTACTGAACTCTGCCTGGTGGAGAGTTTCCTGATTCATGACAGTGTTCTCTGCTACTTCTGCCCTCAGCTTAGGCATTGTGCACATGTCACAGAAAGAGGGAAATGGTTAATGATAGTACAGCTGTAAGAATAATTTGTTCTGTTATTCTTTAGTGACCAGTGCTGTTGACAGTTCTCATCTCTTCCGTGGTCTTCCTACTTCTGCTATCCTCTGTTGTCCAGCTTAGCATGAACTGAAGGGTAGAAGGGTGGTTAGTTTGGGCCTGAAAGACAAGCAGGACAGGAGGTTTCAGTAACTCTTCTCTCTTGCAGATCTTTCCTTACGATAAACAGAGAGAAAATGGAAATGGAGAATAGCCTAGTGTGGTACAATGATTTTCAGAGAAAAGGTTACCTGTAGGGTTAAGAAGGCCTGAGGGTCAGTCCTCTGAACATACCAAGACTCCGGCAGGTGGTAGAAAATTATTTGCTTGCAAATGATTAGCAGCTCACCACATTTTGCAGGATCTGTCACCTTACTGAGGCTTTTATTTTAAAAACCATTTTAAACAGCTATTCTTCAGCACAGGTGATGTTTTTATTTAGGAAAAGGAGAAATTATTGGAAAGTTCCCTGTCCCTGTTATTGCATATTTTTTAATACTGTAGGATTAGCCAGAAAAACCTGGAGGCATAGGGAGAGCAGAAGCTGTTCCCTTCAGGTTCCTTCGGGTTTCTGATCTCTGAATATGTTAGCTGGACATTCTGGATGTAACTAGTGTTCACTGACCTCCTCTGTGCCATGGGACAGTGCTGTTATGTTATGGTACATCCATACAGCTTGTCACTGAGCTATTTGTTACACCATTCTATTTGCTCTACCGAGTTGCTATAAAATGTGTCCTGAAAAAGAAGTAAATTAAAAGCCTTATTTCTGATATTGAAAGAATGCAGTATTGCTGTTGATAATTTTCCTGGATGTATGGGGAATAAACTCAGTCTGAGTGTGTGAAGTAGGAGGCTTTGTGAAAGATGTAGAGTGGGATGGCAGTTTTCATGTCTCCTTGTATATTTTTTACACTGTATTTTAGACCTACTGGAGGGCTGAATGATAGATGTGATTAATTCCACCTCACTTGAAAGAAGAGGGCATGTTTGGTGCACATCATGTTGTCTTCACTTGTTCTCTCATCGTTTCTGTGAATAGTAACATGGATGATCTTTAAAATTTGTGTGTAGCCTGTGAAATGGATACAAAGACCTGTCAGATTACCTTTCCTAATACATTTTCTTCTGAGGAAACAAACCTAACATAAATGTCACTTGCAGTATGAGCAACTGCAGCAGGTGGAGCATTGAATTAATGGTTCTGAGAGGCAAGCCAGGAGAGATTATGAGATAAATACAGTAGATATGGTACATAATTCAACATTTTTTTCATGATTAAAAATGAATTCAAGGAAAAATAGTACATCTTCAAAAAGTTAGAGTACTTGAAAATGGCTTATCTTTTGTGCTTTTTGAAAAGTCTTAAAAAAATCATTTAAACTATATTTATAGGGAAAATTCCCCATTAGTTTAATTAGAAGGATATTTTTCAGCTCTTGGTCTTACATTCTTTTGTAATGCACATTTTGAATGTGCTGAAAGGTAAGGAATTTGCTTATAAGATATACTTGGTACAATGCCTCACGTTTTGTGGCAAGGCACTGTTTCAGTGAAAAATTATTATAAAACTAAACTGATTGCTGTATTGAAAATTATATATATATATTCATCAAATGCAGAGAAAGGACTAGTGTTAGAGTAAGTGACTCGAGTTTAACATTTGATAATATATAGGAAGGTGATATGAGTGCAGCTCCCTTTCAGGTGTTTGTTTCATAGTTACAGAAGAAATTTATATGCTGGCAGAAGGTTTGGAGGCTCTGCAGAAGTCAGCTAACAATAAACTAAAGGAATATGTTGGTGACTCATGTTAGTAGGCTAAGTTGCTTCTCACTAGTGATAGTTTGGCCTCTTTCCAGTTTCAAGAGTTAAGGACTATGACAACTGGCTAATAATATATGTTGTAATACAGAGAAACCAGCTGGTTTAATAGCTGGGCAAAAGGTGGTGGCGTGGTGATTTCTGATGGCTTAAGGTTGTGCAGCTGAGAGCTTCACAGGATTCAGAGGCACTGCTGAGAAAATGCTTCACATTCCCTCATAGCAGCCAACTGGCTGCTGTGAAATGAACACCTTTTTTTTGACCAATCCGCTAAAAGGCCTTTGGAATAGAAAATTCATCTGCTGTCTGAGCTGGAAGGTGAGTGCTCTTTGTAACAGACTAAAAGACTGGGAATGAAACATGTGCAAAAACACCAAAGAATGCGATTTAGAGTACTTGTTAAATCAGGTAATGTGATTTCAGCTGTAAACAGTTGTGGTGATGAAAGCACACCTACTTCCCCCTTCATAAATTAGGGTGGTCTTTCCAGGTGTAAAAGTCTGTGTCCAGGGGCACGTTCTTTGCAATCTGATTAGCTCCACAAGAACTAAAGGGGAGAAAACATCATTTTGGCCTTCGGGGTATACTGTGGACAAGAGGGCTGCAGTGGTGCCACTTTCTCAAGGTATGATTTTTGGTAGAGCTATCTTAAGGTTTCTTTATATTTGCCTCCACATGCTGCAGTCATTCCTCCTGATTCCTAGCAAGGTGTTCCTGAAGTGCAAAATCATGAGGTGGCTGTAGCTGCCAAATACTAGTTAGTTCC